TTTACATGATTCAATCACTGTATAGAGCTCATTTGATGCAAAACACTCTAGCCGGACTGACAGTTAGAATGCCGCCCTAAATCTTTACTATTTGTGGGGCCGTGCAGGCATTCTAAGTGTAGGAAAATGAGACACGCATTCTAAGCCTCCACCCTGGAGCCGGTACGGCATTCTAACTTTCAGTCCGGCAGTATAGCAAGACACCCATGAAATTGGCTACGACCATGGCAACCTCCCAAAGGGAGGGTGACAGCTGAGGAATAGAAGCTTTCCTGTACAAATGATGGCCGTAGCTCATTATATATGTTATGTGAATGTTTGAGTATGTTTGAGTCAAATTCTGCAGGTCTCCACTCCTAGTGCCCTTCAGTCAATTGAAGACACATATTGCACCACATCACTGATTTTCAGGCCGTGAAGAAGCCGAAGAAAAGATTCGTGCTATCAACAACGCCTATGCGCCTGAGTGGCAATGCTTGTCAAAGAGACAGACGAGCAGTGGTCACCAATGCGAATCGCATTTAAAACTGTTGGGTAATGTGTTTGACGTTGTCATCTCCACTTCACGTCCTTTTTTAAAGGAAATACGGGCAATAAGTTTTTGAGACCGCCCTATAGGGTAATTGTGATGAGTAAACTGGATGTGACAGGGAAGTTCCATTGTGGAGGTCTCACGAACCTTGCGACATCTCGAACCGGCGTCCAGAAGCGCCAGTTCCGAAACCATCCTGACTGATACCCTTTTTCTGGATACATAATCCATTTAACCCCTGACCTCAGTCCCTGCAAAATAGTATTGATTGTTTTCTGGAATTGACTCTGAGTGTTGGATTGAAACCCTTCTGACCACTTGAGACGGATGTTTCTCACTCTGCCCACCCTCCGTGGCCATCATTTTGAGGAGACCTTGAGCAATGCCACGAAGCGTGTCTCGGATGACGGATGCTTTTGAAACTTGCGTCGATTTGGGTAGAGGGGGTCGATCTGTGGACTCTGTGGACGATGTGGACTATGCTTGGAAATCAAGGAACTGTTCCAAAATGTTTCAACACCAGATGTCACATAGTATACATTAAGGTAGGGGCTCCTGGCATGGCTACTAGGAGCAAGGACGCTACTAAGGACTCCTGGCCTTACTACTAGGAGCAAGAACGCTTATGGATCTTCTCTCAGCGATTTGTTGGGCCGCTTGGAACCGGTCTACTTCAGAAAGGACTGAAGTTGATCGTTTGGGCCTGTCCGTTCTTGCCTGTTAACAGTCGGTAAACACGTATCACTATTTTAGAGAAAGGCCTGCAACCTAACCATCATGTCTTAGTTGAGCAGTTCTTGAGCTCTTTGCTCCCGCTCCTGCTGAGGTGCCACCTATGACGCTCAACGTCAGGCCTTGCTTCGGCAGCAGCGGGGCCACGGACCCGACCTGCAGGCTACGGTCGACTGACCCGGGACCTGCGGCCGCGCGTTCCCGCGCCCAAACCCCAATCCCAAGCAGAAACACGGGCTTGTTCCAAATTCCAATATGGCTTGCTTGAGATCCTTCACAGACGTGGTTCTTTGATGTTCTTTGGGAAGACATCCATTTCTGTCCGGTTGTTTGGATTTCCAGGTTGTTTTAAACAGGAGCTGCTGCTGGGATGATCGTTTTTTGGACGCTGAACATAAGAAAACCATAGAAAACCTGTGGGCGGATTAAAAGATAATACATAAGTGTAGGGGAGCATGACATGTTCTAGGTATCTTTGGTCTCAACAAGAAGGCCTGGTGACAATTGAGCTAGCGACTAAAATCTCCCATGTAACATTCGAAAGAGATGTTAATGTAAGAATATTTTACAAAGCTTCTTTGTAGCCAGCTACTCGTCAATGGCAAACATTTATATTGGCAATGATGTGCATGTAAGTAATGTGTCACATGGTCCATGTACAGCAGCCCTGTCCGCGAAAGCTGGTGAAAGTGGTTTCACACAGAATGCAGCTCACAAAAGCCCAAACACAAGTTGCAAACGCGTGGCGACAGACATGTGCGAAAGAAGGGCCAATCAAAATGCCGTGCCAGGAACCCTTCGTCTGAATGAACCCTGCAGAAGGGCTTCAAAGAACCCTTCCAAACTCATGAAACGAGCCTGAACCCATGCTCCCTTTACCTCGGCCATCCTTGGGCCGGCTATGAACCATGTCCAGGGCGCGCCACGTCAGAGAATCCCACGAGAGTTCATGCTCCAACCCATTGGGACCGGGAGCCCAGAGAAACAGGTGGACTAGTGGATAGGTGGAGGTCGAAGCGAAGTAGATGGGGAGGTGAATTGGATTCGGAGATAGATGGGAGTGGCAACACCAACTCAGCTTGGGGACTCCAAGTACATTGGTGGAGGGCCTAGGGTCAGAAGTGATCGGGGCGTTCTGTTGAGGATGGTGATTTAAGCAACACCTTTTTAGAGGAAATGCAACCTGAGTTTGCATGTTTCTTCCAAAGATCGATGGCACTCGAAGCTTCCTGTGGAGTACTTCTCGACTTGTGGGACTTGAGCACGAACCAGCACGACGTGGAGTACATTTGCTGTCAGTGTCCAACTAGCGTGGCACTTGTTACTAGTAGCTTCTTGTTTCTAATAGTTTTTTGTTACTACTAGTAAGGCACTTGTTACTACTAGCGTGGCACTTGTTACTAGTAGCCTCCTGCCTTTTTCCCAGGTATCCCGACAAGTTTGTGCGCTACGCCTCTGAACGGGCGATGTCCCAATGCGAGGTGGGCGCCTTTGGCGGCGAGACTTCAGGTGTCCTAAAGCAGGACTTCAAAGTGCAGAGGTCAGATACACAGATGATCACAGATTCATGATTGTGCAGTTTTTTTGGTTTGTCCTTCTTAATGTCATCTATCTGTCTAATTTCCTTGTTCGTATCTTGAGACCACCGCAGTGATTTTCATGTCCTGCTGTTGCAGTGATATTCCGACAGGTCCATCCAGTCCGTCCAGTTGCTTCAAAGACCAGTCCGAAGACACATCGAACTCTCAAAAGTAATGGATACCTGCTGCACTGTTTGATCAAAGATTGCCAAACAGAAGCAGAACGAAGCAAACATGTGTGTGTGTGTGTTCTAAGCTGGGAGCTGCCTGGAGACAAACCCACTAGCATTTCTCTGGTTGTTCTCCATTTGTTCTTCAAAAAGTAAGACAACACAACCTTTTAAGTTCACCACAGAGTAAGGACCAAGGAAGTTTTGCCTCTTTCGAAGTTCACCTATCCTTTCACCATTTATTTCATCTCGCAAGGCAACACTTCACCTTTTTCTGGCTGTCTCCAATGGTCTCTTCATTCATCGAGGTGACCAGCCGGGCGGACGCTCGCCTCGATGGGAAGAGTGGTTTGGATCAGCCACCTGGCTGGAGAGAGCCGGAAAAAACTGCCGCAGCAGACGGGAAGCCGAGAAGCTCCCCCCATCTGTAGATGTAGACGCCTCCAACCTACTAGCGCGATGGCCTCCAACCTACTAGCACTAGCGCGATGGCCTCTATCCTACTAGAGATGTCATCCTGGTACGTTGATTCAGTTGAATCAATCAACCAGTCAACATTTAATGTCACTGCAATCATGGAAGTGGCCCACTTTGTAGAGGGACGTGCTCTTCCAGAGCTTCCATATTTGCGGATGTAGAGCTGAATCCTATATTGACCCTAATTTAATCAACTATTGTAGTAGGTTGTGTCCACTTCGGTGGACAAGTGGTAGTGTCCAACTTATAAAGCACATTGACAAAATCATGTTTAAGTCGTCATTTGGATCCACCAGTGATCTCCCAGTCACTCACCTGACTCACTGCAAGCATGGAATGTCCCCGTTTCACCCAGGTTCGTGCCCTTCTTCCGGGCTGCGAAGCTCTCGCTCTGGTGGTGTCTCGGTTTGCATCATGGGAAGACAGCCAAACTGCATAAACGCAGGGCTGATGGCCTGTGGTGTGGCTGAGCTGAACAGATTGCGACAATCATGGTACTGGTAACGCACTATTGTAGCCAATGGTTTCTTCACTCGTTTCAGATCCTGGTCAGGGTAATTATTCACTCTCCAGACCTCTTTGGCGCCCACTTGAGGGCTGCCGACTCATTTGATCAATTGTCCCCCAATCCCGCATCACAAAGACGGTCTTTGCAAGAGACCATGTGTTCACTGAACAAGTCCAGTTCCAGTGCTGACTGTTTCCACATGTGTCCACCTTTGTACAAAATTGTATGGGTTCTATGTGACTGCACCTCTTCAACCTTAGAACCACACCAGACCTTCCAAGTCAAGTGTCAGTCACTGCTTCACGGCCCCGTGACGTCGCACCGAACTCACCGAAATCCGTCACGTTCCTACCCTGGACTGCAGGGGGTGTCCGTTCTCACCTGTAGGAGTCGGTAAACAATCATGTTTCACTCTTGCAGGGAATGGGATATATACCGGTCTATAGGCTTCATTGAAACGGTGTCCGAACCCGAACACCCCGCAAAAACACCGCAGAAAAAAACCCTACCTCGGAACCCACCGACGTCTCATCTCCTGTTTTCGCTCCTCAGACCCCGAAGGTTGCCCGACGTCAACAACATGTGCCGCATCCGGGCGCTGGAAGCTCGCACGCGGTCGAGCGCCGGCGAGAAGGCGAGGAGGGCGAGAAGGCGGAGGAGTGTGGCGGACCGGCGAGGGAACCAAGAGTCGAGTGGCTAGTTGCGTCCTTGCTCCTAGTAGTAAGGCCAGGAGCCCCTACTAGCGTCCTTGCTCCTAGTAGCGATGCCAGCGGCCCCTGGTAGCTTCTTGTTTGGTTTGTTGGAGATTGTTGGTTCCTTTTTTTTAAAGTTCAAGAGTCTTTGACGGCAGCGACCTGCCCCAAAGCCCGAAACCTCCCCTGTTCCATCCTCGCACACCAAAGACCAAATCTGCCCTCCCGGTGGAATCCATCCATATATCCATACCCATCCACCATCCGTCCATATCCTGGAATGCTTCCAATCCATTCGCATCCCAACGAAAAGCGCCCTTCACCGACTCGCCACTGGACTGTCGCGACTGTCTTCAGGTGGTGGCCGGACGGCCTGGAGGTTTCAACCTGGGCTTCGAGATCGAAGTCCACCCCGCTCAGAGTGCATTTTTGCACGTGACTGTCGGTCTGTGGTCCGTTCGTCGGTTTGGTTTATCATCTGTGAGCTTGGTGAGGTTTGTGGCAGTCTCCTTTAGGAGACAGGTCCGACAGGTCAGTTTTTGAAGAGCTAGGCAATTGGAATCTAGATTGTGTGTGAAACTCCCAATATGGAGATTCTAAGTCCATTTTGGTCGGGGGTTATTGTCGTTCAACAGTCTACGTTGCTGTTGTCACTGAATTGTTCGTGATAGATCATTGAAGGGATCGCAGGAGTTGGGGGAGCACAGAGCTCCGTCTCAAGAAGTATGAAGTGCCCCGTGTTGGGCAAAAGGCATTTGAGTTAGCTGAATGGATGTCCCTATTGCCATGAAGTGGGCGGATCATACATTTTATATACTTGATTGTGGATGTGGATCGATCTTGAACCCTTTTGTACATTAATGTATTGGAAATCCTTTGAACAAGAGAAACACAAACTCATTTTCTTGATTGTTGGTCCTTAAGGAGGTATTGGTTTGGAACCCCTGACAGCTTTCACAACCTCATGGGCCAGTTTGCTCTTTTGCCCCTGCTGGGCTCACACCAGATCTTGGTCAAGTGAGAGCAACCTTCCCTGTATTGATACCTAGCTTGGGTCATTTGGACTGGCTTTTTGTCACTTGGCATTCGACATTGTAGCGAGAATGATGCATTTGCAGGCAACATCACTGGCAACCATCGTATGCCATCAGGATGGTTCGTGAAGACTCTCGAAAATCCATGTTCTGACCATCGGACTGACAACGACTTTACACGCGCGCCTGTCGAAAGCGTTCGGAACGCCGGTCGAACCGGCAACTGGCGGAGCTCCGTTCGTGCGTTGCAAGCTTTCAGAGTTGACATGTTAGGAACTGAAGTGGTGGATAGGGGAACCAGTGGTGAATCAACGACCATTCTCTGTTCCCAATTTGAACCCACGTCAGAGCATCGCAGGTTGATTTTTTAAAATGTGCTGTTCACATTTTTTGCTTATTTGTGCTCAGGTAGTTTGATGCTTCAGACAGAGATTTTTGCTGTGTTGTCTACGTCTATGTCTTGGAATTAATGATTTCGTATCGCTGTTCAACATGTGGGATGGTCAAACCTTCCAATGCGTTGGGCCAATTGGGGACTGACATGAGGACGTTTGCCGAGTCCTTACCATTTGGTGGCTCATCAAACATCACGTGTCCGTTCGGAGAACAATTGCTTTGAATCAAGACATCCCTTGTGAAATGAGAGATAAACAGTAAATTGTTGCATTTGGGGCAACTTGTTCTGTCTTAATTCCAAGCTCAAATCCTTCCTTGGTGCTGTATGATGTGACGTGAGTCCTGATGCTGAGAATGTTCAAGGGGCTTGTTTATTGAGTGAACAAGTAGTCGATCCAAAATACGGTGGGGTGTCCTGCTCATGGAAATAGTTCTGAAACGGTTGCCTGAGATTGTGCGAACAGAATGCGGTTGACCTTGGCAAAGGACTCCATGACCTTTGCCACATCACCACTCTTAGCTGGCAAATGTGTTTGATCACAAGTCCCTGTTAAGGAGATGAGACAATGATTCTGATAGTCCTTTCAGTGTAGCAGGGCGTTATCTTTGGTCGGTGCTGAGGGCTCCTCTAGCATTTTAGAGAGCTCCTTCCAAAATGGACATCCTCCTTTGCCATTCGAGAATCGCTTTCTCTTTGTTTAAGAATTGCAAAGGAGCTGCCAGGAACAGCAAGTGAGCACCTTCTTGTGTGATTGAAGCTTATTGTTAGTTCATTTCTTCAAGGTGTTTATGCTTGCATGTCTTTGGCAGGTCTTTGTGGATGCATTCCGTGTCCGCAGTTGTAATCATTTGACTCGATCACTCAATGAAGTTAGATGTACAGCTGATGGCAGAGCCTAGCGTAAAAGCATTTAAGAACCATCGGGACATGTTGTATGTATTTGTGTTCATCTTCTACACATAAGCTTCAACACTCCTCAAGCCGCTCCTTGGAACTCTTTAATATAGCTACCAGCTTAGCCTCCACCATCCTTTTGTCCAAAGTGACCGCATCGCCCACCTCGACCACTTGCCCCCACATCCTCCACCCGTCGCCAGCGCCGCAAACACCCACTCGGTCGGCACGACGACGTGGAGCCACCCGTCGGTTTTGTCCGAGAAGGTCTTCACGCTCAGGTCGGTCGCGACTCTGACCTCAAGCTCATGGAGGCCGATCTGCTCCGAACACGGCAAGAACGGGAATTTTTCACTGGAAACATCAAGATTCGAGATGCTCCAGGAGTTCCCTGTCAGGGTGCTGAAATTGGAGGAAAGGGGTGCCCATGATCCACTCACTTAATTAGGGACTCACAGGACCCCTTTGGAACTGCTGGATTTTAACATTGCCTTGAATGTTTTATCTTCACAGCTTTCCCAATTTTTGCGGGATCATAAGCTGAAGCAAAAGGGTGCGACTTTGGAACACGTCGAACAGCCAGCCAGTCAAGACGCTACCATGCTTTTCTTTTTTGGACACGCTCGTTGAAGTAAGCCGAGCGAGAAACGCAGCCCATGTGAAGGCGGGAAAAGGAGAACTTAACGAGAACGTCAATTTCATCGTGGTGTCCAGCTGGGCCCCTCAGAGAGTTGCATGACATCCTGCATCACCGGTACCTCAAACTCAAATGACTTCTAGAAAATCTCGAGTCTGCATTGAATGCGTGTGAACACCAATGTTAAATGAGGTTTTGGTCACCACAAATACCCTTTGAGGGGGGTGATGGCCTGATCACCTCACTAATAATGTGAATTCGCCCCTAGTGTGCTCCCTTGCAGCGAGTTGCTTGGCGTGAATCGACCAGTTTTTGCATCGCGTTCACAGGCTTTCTTGCAAGTCCTTTCGGCCAAATACACACCCAAGAACGAGACTAGTTGGTTGCTGTTGTATACGTGTTCAGTGAGTTTAGCCTCAACTAGCTTTACACTTTAAGAGGAACGAGTTGGTAACTATATGATGGGTCAGCATTTGTTTGAGGTGCTCTTTTTTCCCTAAAAGCTGAGGCCCTCTCTACGACAACGCCTTTCGCTTCGAGGTGCCTGTTGTTAGCACGGAGGTGATGGGCTTGGGAGCTGCCTGGGGCTGCCTGGCTGGTTTGCAATTTTGCAGCAAGGCTGAGGATGTTCAGCTTGAAGCTTCACTCAGCTCCAGCTCAACCCCCAAGATGTATATAGATGTAGCCGGAAGCACCTTGTCACAAGAATGGACGTGGTATATACTTGTACAAGTACAAACCGCCGAAGCTTCTTTGAAGCACACCGAGACATCTTGAAGGTGACGGAACGCTATTAAAACAAGTGCATCGCTTCTAGTAACAAGTGCCTTACTAGTAGTAACAATGTTCGCTATTAGGAACAAGTGCCTTACTACTAGTAACAAGTGCCTTACTAGTAATAACAAGAAGCTATTAGAAACAGGAAACAATTAGAATTGTCCCAGTGTCTTGCCGCAGGAATCATCCACAGCGATTCCACACCGTGTCAAGTCATACTGTACCCACTGTTTAGTGAAGTCACCACATGGAAGTAGTCATCACACGAGCCATTTCTAAATTTTAATTTGGGTTGTGGATGAGCTAGGGCCGCTAGGGAACACTTGGTGTAGCTGCAGCAGGGTCTACTCACATGTCCCTAGTGGAGGTTGATATGAACGTGCTAGATGCAATGCAACTTCTTCTTTGTTTGACACCCACTTTGATAGAGACTGACACTCCTAGAAACAATAATGGCTTGCTCTTACGCACAGAGTTGCAGAGCACGCGCGTGTGCAAGACATGAGCCATGTTGTCCAAACCCAAACCCCTTGGACCCAAGCATCATGATTCTCCGCTCATTTCCCCTACTTTCAACGACAAGGCCGCCTTCAAGAAGGGCTACTACTTGGCTTTCCGGCCGCCTACGCTGCTGAGGAGCGCCAAATCTGACTGCATCTTTGAAAACCCCAAATGGGAATAGAGTTTAGACCTCACGGCCTGAAGTTTGAAGAATCCGGTCCCAAAACAGAATCCTGAAGCAGATTGTCAAGCGAAGGCGCAAAACCAGTGCCTGTGAACCAAAAATTGTTGGGCCTTGGCTTTTGCCACCCATAGTTTCGGGGTTTAGGTTGCTGGCGAAGGACACCTGTGGAATTGGCCGCTTTTCTGACCTTTCTGGTGCCCCTTTGCAGGAAGGTTAGCAACCTTAGCTTGTTCGGTATGAGTTTGATAAGCTTGTTGGATCTTGGGCTTTTTGCGGGTCCTGCGTTCAAGAGCCTTTTGGCTAGGTGTTCGGTGTTGAAATCTTTAGCAACTCAGATTCCAGCTCGTTTCTAGGGGGGCTTCTCGTTGAGCCAACGGGACGATTAACGGATCGCTCTCGCTGGAGCCCCCCGGAACATCGGGCTCGCGATCGCCAGGATGATCCCGTACAATGGTGGGCCGCTGCCCAAAAAGCCACAGACTTAGAGCGCCACAGACAGAGGGAGTGGGGAGCACTGGGTGAGCGAGCACTGGGCGCGCCACGTGGAACTCAGTCGGGAGTCACTAAAAGGTCCAAAGTTCATGCAATGTGCGACATCCTACGTGAAGCTGGAACAACAAACATCTTAGCAGATGGTTCTTCGTTGCAGCTTATCTCAGGTGGTGTCATCAGTGGTCCACCACCAGCCTTAAAACTCCGCAGAAATCCCCAAGGGAAAAACCATCCCAGGAAAATCCTTGATCAGGATCCTCCGAAACCGCACTTTGTGTTTTGACCACCAGGAGTCACATGTCGGGGTGCTGAGCTTGGAGGATAGGGGCACCCATGATCCAATCACTGGATGGGACTAAAAACGCCCCAACTCCATGTGACTCCTGGCAGAGATAGACACTGAAGCAGCTCAGGGTGGTCATCGATTTCACCTTGGTCGACTTCCAGGCGAGGACGAAGGTTCAAGCGAGGACGGAGGTTCAGAGAGCGACATGGCGTGGGAAGATAAGTTTTGAACTCATACACGTACTGTAGGTAAATAGAACTCTGCAAAACTGCAACATCATGACCATAGGCCCGACATTTGCGCTCCAAATGCCATGAGTGGTCATGAGTAAGAGTGCTGTTTGGGGACGCCCCTAGGATCCTTATGTCCCTTTAAAGCAGACCTCCTACTCTTTCATCTTCATCGCTTCAGACACCCGTTGCACAAAATACAAAAAGGATTTACCCAGAACAACTCCAATGCATTTGTTTTGTTTCCAATTGGAATGGCAAGCAGGGGGGTCAGGGGGTTGTTTGGAGGGTGATAATGTTTGGCAGATGCTTTTGCTGAAGCTATCTTACTTTCCAAACTGTAGGTATCAAAAGAAAGAAGGCCCCCCAACCTCAGTATGGGTAGAAAGGACCAAGCAACAAATCCCCTCACTTGTCTCACAAAGGTCTTTGTTGTTTGGTGGGCCAAATCCCCGCAGGCAATGTTTAAGTTCATCGACATTGAAGAGGTGCACGCGTGGGCTGGGGAAGTAGTGGGTTGGTTAAACTAATGTTTTAAAGACTTATTGGGTCAATAAAACTAATGTTTTAAGTTCTATTTGGGTCAGTTTTTCGGGTCACCCCAGAGCAACAGAAGCAATTGGTCCAAACTCACCCTTGTGTGACTTCAACCAATGAAGGTGCCCCCAACGCATCCCAACTAACGCCCCCAACGCAGAACCCCCATGGTGACTCCTTGGGAACGCCCCCATTGTTGAACAGCTGAGAGGTTCGAGAAAGCACCATGCGGGATCATGCAGGTCCGAGAGAGAAGATCTTTGGCAGGTGAATATTCCATGGAAGAGCTAAGTAGGGCATTGGAGGTTTCTTGTAAGGATACAGTGGCTGACTGATTCTGAAGACTTTCTTTTATACAATAACACAATGCTCCGGAAGTTCTCAACCCTGTGGCCGAAAGCTTGCTTGATATTTCATATCCGTGGCCACATCCGACTCCATGGCCGCTGGCCTCAAACTCTTCGGGTCGTTTTTTCCCACCGCCCGACCGAGAAATCTCAGGTGCTTCGACCAGTCATCGAGAGCAAAGGCGGTTGGGTGCCCCTGGAGCAGGTCAAGGCCGATGCCAACGTCGTCGTGGCTTGGCGGGTGAGTCGGTCGGTTTTCGGGGGGGCACCACTGGTCGGGGGGGACGTGAACATGTGGGTTGTTGGAATGAAGATGTGAGAGCCGCGTTGGTTGAGACGTATTGATGTGTTTGTGGGGAGGAACAGGTGATCTCCATGACTTCATGAGGAACAGGTGACCTCCCAAAGCTTTGTCAACCAAGCTGTTTGCCTTGCTCCATCAACACGTGATAATTGAGGACCTTCTTTCCACCTTTTGCCCATCCTCGGGCGCCCGTCATTTTAAACAGTGGAGGGTCTGGCGTCCTTTTTGCACAGGGGTTTGGGTGCCAAAAGGTTATTACCTATTTAACTCAATAGTCAATAGGCACAAGCATACCTAAGACATACTCGACTATTTTTGATATCAGTCCCTCCAATCCAGCATCCCTTGAGGTGCTTGTGTGGATAGTTATATCCGATAATATCCGCCTTTGCCGCCGTAGTTATAGCTGAGGCATATTTCAACAACATTTTGCAGAAACCCATGTGGGATGATGATGACTTTCAGACGTACTTTGAGGGCCACTTCGAGATGTGGGAGCTTCTTGGCTGTGCTGAGATCGTTTCATGAGACCGTTGCATGTCCTGTTTCCCCCGTCGATGGATTGATTGACCTCAAAGCGCCGAGGATGACCGTTTTGATCGATGGTGTGGTCACATGCAGACAAGCAGGATGAGTGGAAGTGGTCCCCAAGCTACCGTTTGGGATAACACCCAGTAAAGCCAAGCAAAGTGATTGACAGTCAGTGGGTTTCAGCACGTTTTAGCAGTGGTACTCTCTCTCCCAAAAAAAAACTAGGATGCCACATGGATATGACTCAAAGTAGCCGACTCCCGAAAGCCACATCAAAGCCCCGCACATAAGGGGTGCTGACCGAACCTATGCCCAATTCAATCCATTTCAATGCCCAAGAATCACATATCAAAACATGGCTGTGTAGATTCAGCGTGGCTCTGGGAAGCAAGCAGCTCAAACACTTGCAGGAGTCTAGTGCCCTACCTAAGATGAGAAGGAACAGGCAGAGGAGTGAGTCATAAACCTTGAAACCAGCAGATGTGTTCAGTATTTCCTCGAAAAGGCCCGGACCTTCGGAAGGGTCACAGCTCTACTGCGGTTTCTCGCACCCAGGTACCGGACGTCGCCAAAGCAAGCGGTGAGGCACGACGAACCGATTGCAAGTGGTCGTATTTCTTAAGGAGCTTTAAATGGAGTTCGTTGGACCACGTAAGAGACAGGGTCCAAAATCCACGCTGTAAGACACAACACAGGGTCCAAATCCACACAGGGTCCAAAATCCTGTTCGTTGGACCACGTGAGACAGGATAAATTTCAAGAGCTGGGATGTTCTCACTCTGGAAGTTTCAATCATCCAGGTGGGTTGCTGGGTGGATTTGGATGCGCTTTGAGACATCATACATGGTCGGTTGACTATATGTGCCAGAAGAAAAGCGTTTCGGTGCTAATTGAGTGTTCATAGTCATCGTGTTCATTTGTCCAATTTGTCATTGTCAAGCCATTTGGAACGAGCCGTAGTGATGCTGCTCAATGATCCTCATTTGTGGCATCGACCGTTTTGGTACTATGAGCTCATGATATGACAAGTTCAAGAAAGCCAACCGCTAACCTCCAAAGTTGCCGATGATTTTGGCATCACTTCTTGCTTGGACTAATGATTGAAGGCTTGCAGCAGCTTGCTCAGACTTATACAACTCATGAAGCTTGCTCCACCCGATACAACAACCGGACGCCGGACTCGGCCTCGTCGAGTCTTTGTCGCCGAGTCTTCGTCGAAGACTTGCCAGGCTGAAGGGCGTGGACGAGCGCTTGGGCCACGCCCTGGAGCGAGTGAAGGTGAGCGCCCTGGTGGATTGACGTTGATGTTTTGTTTGAGGGTCCAGCTTCAGATATATAATCTTCAGACATCTTGAGCTTTCGGGGTGTTGTTTGGAGTACTGTATGTATGGTTGGTTCAGTTCTGCTACAGAGTGGTTATAACGTGTTTGTTATGAGCTTCAGATCTTGAAGGGTTGAAATTGATTGTTTACAATACTCATGGTCAGAAGAGATTTGTTGGATAGTTCCAGTGATTTGTTGTTTTGTAGATGATGGATTTAAGAGGTAGGTGTCACATCTTGCCACATTTCAACTCACAATTGAATGGGAAAATGGCCACAGTCAAAACACGTTCTATAGCTAAGGGAGCCAGCATGTTCACATTCTAATACGGTAAGTGGCAGAGTTCAGTTTCACAAGACAATCAATGCTTGGCTGGGAGCCAGGCCAAGTCCACGGTTTGCAGCGACCGGATAAATCGCAGGACGCAGATGAAGCAGCTTCGTTGGTGGTGACGTGCCTTGGTTGGAAATTGCATGGAGTCTTGAGGCACCCGGGTGATCCACCACTTTGCGGGAACAACGAGCAGCTACTCACTGAGTCACGCATATAATTACATCATTATATAGATCTATGATCTATCTCTCTATATATATACAATTATATACATTATTCATATATTATCATGTATAAATAGAGAGAGAGATTTGCTGCACTCTGAATCATTTGATTACCGTTCTTTTTCGCACAAATGGGGGTGTATTCCCCCCACATATTAGATTAGACTGACCCATCTTCCAAATCCAAAAAATGTCCAGTCTGACCATGCGCTTAGAGCGGGCGGTGGAATTCCCACTGGACATCGTCCATACATATATATATACTGTATACAATTTGTAAGTCAATTGTTCTACTTGAATCACCTTGGGATCACACTGCAAATTTACCCTTGGATCCTCCGGACAGCATGGATCCCCAATTCACCACTGGTGTCCAGCGTTTGTGGTCACCATAGGAGACCACAGCTGCAAAAGACCTGTCAGTTTCCTCATTGCTGCGCTGCAGGGCCGGAGAAGAACTGAAACGCCTCCATTGGTTTGGGGCGCCCAGAACTTCTGTGGTATGTTGGGTCGTGACAGCGGCAACGAAGCGTAAACATGTTTGTCGGTCGTTTTCCGCAGGTTGATGTTCCTGTCGTGTTCATAGAAGAAGGAGACTCGAACTAGCAGTAGTGATTCATCATGACACATCCGTTCATTTGAGGTGACGCAGGCTGATTTCCTTCAATAGGACCGGGCCATGTCGACTTTGTCTCAAATTGAACTATATAACTTGGGAAACATCAGATGCAAAATGCATCGAAAAAGATCAATCTGGATTCTTTGTTTGTAAACATCGATCCTGCAAGCCTGGGACAGCTCCTCATGGGCTGCCAGACTGCTGCAGCTTTTGAAGTCGAGTCGAATCCAGACTCAGTGGAGCTTTTGCCTCACCGGTCAAGGTTTTTTGACTCACAAACAGCATTCCACACCGGTGCCAGAATCTAAGCGAAGCCTTCACGTTGGTCACCTGACACCCCTATCCCTACTTTTCTTAACCCAATCAAATCAATCAAGCGCGTGACAACTTATAGATGTACTACTTGCATGTGATCATCGTAAACACATGTAAACACCACAATGCCTTAGGTTCGCCACAAAACCACCGGACTGCTGAAATCATATCCTTGATTAGCTACGGTGGTGAGAAAAGCGTGTTTTCTGACGCAGTTTGGGTGCCGCCCAAGGCGCTACCTGCTGAACGCCTTCGAAGCGTTGAGCTTGAAGTCAAAGAGTGAGGAAATCTCTGCAGCCCGGAGATCCCAGTGGTGAATGAAGCACTCCGTGTGCAGAATGCGCTCGGATGCCAGCAGTTCCCCGCGGACGCGGGTGGCCTCGCTGATTAACTTGAGGTGCAACTTTTGGGCCAAGAACGGTGCTTAAAAGATCGTTTGCAGGTTTTTTGTTGGACTTTCTTTTAAACTCCTTGAGTTAGAGTGTTAGGAGTTCAGAGAGGGATTCTCCAACTGCAGACCTATCATGGGATGCTGGACTTTGCCAGATTGCAAGGTGGTCACGACTATATATTGTACTTTTTGTATGTCAAGTGTTTCAATGCTTTTCAAACGCATCAATGCAGGCCATTTACATCAAAAAAAGGGCATCCTTGACTTTGGGGAGCCGGTTCTACGTTCGGCCGCCATGACGGTATTGTTTCATCATCCACTGGATCGACATTGCACGCAATGCACTGGTTTCACTGGTACTCACTGCACTCAGGAGAAAGATCTCAATGATATCAGAAATCAACAGGCAGTAGTATTGAGTATTCATAGACACTTCTTGGCGAAGAACAGGAAAGATCACTTTCTTTTGCATGTTCCACATCTTGAAATGAAATACGGGACCACATACAAAGAAATGTAGTATTATATATAGCATTAGCCTTGGAAACACTTGTCTACTTCTTAGCTGAGAAGCAGGTTGGGCCATGCTCCATATTTGTTCGCGTCCCTGCAAGGTCGTGGAGCGGATGGAGGCGCGCACAAACTAAGCGACCCGCATGTGGAGGGAGGGCGGCCATTGCATTTTGAGGGAAGCACTCAATGAAGATCCACTCTACTCTTGGAAACACCAATTTGTAAAGGTGCTTGTCCAACACTTGCTGGAAATTTAGGGTATCCAGGTTCCAATATATATATATGTTTTTGCACTGCATACTCCAGAAGTAAAAGCTGGATCAGTCTGAAACCTTCTCTCCGCATTGGGGTTGAAGCTGGCAATCGGGACTCTTACCTAGCCAAAGGCTTTGAACTTCAAACACAAAAGGAAGAAGTATGATACGCTTACCCAGGTGCAGACCCTGAACCAGTACAAATGACTAAGTGGAGTGCATACAACTTCACCAGCAAGTTGTTTGAAAAATGCTGTTTGCAATTACATGGCTCATTGTACGCCACATTCGGACTTTCCCGAAGCGTAGTCTTGCACAGCGCATCCCTTCACTTGGCCAGTGTCCATTCGATGTTTTAACATGAAGAAACCCCTTCAACTGCTGGCTTGGAGGAGAAGACATTGACTTGACCCAGTTAGTCCAGTCGAAAGACCTCAGATCCAGTCCTAGTCCAGTCGCAGGCGCAGCGACGGCTCCTAGGGGCCCTGGGCGGCATGTTGAGCATCGAGGCGCTGCAATGTGTCCTGCGATGGCCTCCACCTAGTAGCGTCCTTGCTCCTAATAGTAATGGCCTCCACCTAGTAGCTTCTAGTGATATATATATATATACTAGAAAGCTTCAAAGACCTACTAAGAGCTTCAAAGATCTATTGGTCAGAGTCCACCGGGCACACGGGGACCACTTGCCAGGTGGACTTCGCTCACTTGGTGCGTTTCGCCCGGCTGCTCTTGATGCCGGGATTTGCCAAGGACGTGGCACAGAGGCGAGGTGTTAGCCCTGGCGAACCGGATCGGTTTGTTTGGAGAACCACGGTGCCTTGTAGCGTCCCTGCTCCTAGTAGCAATGCCCTTTGTTACTAGTAGCTATTTGTTCCTAGTAGTAAGGCCAGGAGCCCGGTTCGAGCGTCCTTGTTCCTAGTAGCAACCACATTTTTTCTTTGGTTGACAGGATTGAAGTGGAGGCTGCTGCCCTGGGCAAAGTCGCCACATGGCCACATTGGAGGGGAGGAAGAGTGAATGTGATGCCTTGAAGGAAGCGCGAAGTCCCACTGCACAACAGTGAATCCCCCGGATCCTGCCGGATGGGTTTGCCAGGTCGGGCAAGTGACCCTCTCAAAATGGATGGACAAGGGTATTAAATGATATTCATATTAAAAATACTACTATTTATCAAGTAAACCCGTTTCAGATAGCTGTTGGCATTAAATCCAATGCCGTCCTCTCTTTGTCTTTCGCATGTGGTTCACCTGGTGTTTGAAAACCAGCCCTATTTTCGAAATTGCGGGAGCCCCAATGATTGCAGCACAAGAAGAGCTCGAGCCGTGCCATGCCGCGCTCTTTGAGTTGGACAAGGAAGCTCCAGCCGTGCGCTTTGCTTTTTCAAAGTGGACCGCTTCAGAGTCATTAAGAGGGCAATTGGACTCAATGAAACATCCTCACCCGGACTTTTCTGAAGTTCTCTTGGAGACTTTTGCGGCGCAGTCTTTGTCTACAGCATGTGTATATATGCTTATACCATCTTATACCCCGTTTGAGTCTACAGCATGTCTACAACTCTGAACGTCCTACCTTCAAGCACGTCAGAATCGGATAGGGCGCTCCCCCACACGACGTTCGTGGGGAGAGGAAGTCCTCTTCGTGCCGAGGTCCTGGGTCGCGCCAAGGCCGTCGAGAGCGGTCAGGTGGCCGACGTGGTCGGCGGCCTCAGCAGTCGGCACCGAGAGATGCGAAGAAACGTCGCACCGATGCGCGGGCGAAACACGCGCGGGTGAAACACGTGTTCCCCAAGAGGGCGGGAGAGATGCGTGTGTGGTCGTGTTTTGTGTACATGCCATATAGGTGCTAATTGAACTAGATGTTTGTCTCCCAGGCGGTGAGCTGGTGACTAAAGTGACGAAAGTGAGGGAAAGCAAAGCAACATTTGTTGTGGGTCTCGAGTGTCACCCAAAGTGACTGCTTGGCTAGGCGGTCATGTCTTGGGGATCTGGCAATCGGTAGAGAAGAGATTCCCTCCTCCTGTTTCTATTGAAGCATGATAGGTAACCCATGGTAACCCACTTAGATCACTATTAGGCAACAATGGTTACCCTTCCATAATGAACAGTGTGACATGTATGGCCAGCTGCTTCTGGTAGAAGAGTTCGACATAAGAATAAGAACAATTTGGACAGAATTGATTACAGGCCAGTGGTTAGTTTGTATAGATCTTGGAATTTAGTCATGCTCAAACCACTTGTTCATGGTCCTGCCCAGTGAAACTCACCATTATTTAATTTGAGAGAATCAGAGAACCGGAAACCGGCTTTGAAGTGCTGCCCAGACGCTGCGCAGATTCTGCGCAGTCGCGCTCGAGCCAGGTGAAGTTGGACGACCTGAAGTCGATCCTTTCCTTGCCAGGAATGTCCAACAGCGACGTGCTGGCCAGGACAGTTTCGGCCGATAAAGATGTTGGTTTCATGTTGCGAGGGGGGTCATGCTGGGGCAAGTGGACGTGTCAAAGTTGTTCTGACAATTTTGCACATCGTGTTTTCTGAGGCATCGTCTCTACAATATAATATAGCTTCTGGTTTCTGGGTCATGGATTCCTAATGTTTCCCATCTGAGCATGAAAACAGTGGTCATGATATCTGGCTCTCGTGGATCGTCTCCAACCGATGGTGTTGGGAGTCGGGGAGCGTGCCAGGATCACGTCTCCTCCTTTGTCCGAGGCGCCCGGGTGGGATGGATCGTCCCAGGTTAAGGAGCGCCTCTAGTAGCGAGCACTAGCAGATTGTGCTTGGTTTTTTATACCTGTGTGTTCCTGGTCTGTGTGAAACAAATAGATTTGGAATATACCATAGCCTTCAATCACCATTGCAAAACACGGTTGACCTGGTATTGTAAAATCCGTAGTAAAACAATGGCTGTTGGCCCCATGGTGTGTATGTATATATATATAGCGTCTTTGTTGACCTTGTTCTTTTCTACAGCTATTCAGACTCTACCACGTAGCTTGAGGTCAGCTTGCCCATCTTGCACATTGCACGTGGATCAAGTGGGTTCGGGTCGATTGCAAATTTGGAGCCACACATTGGGGGCTGCTTGAGCATGCATTTGGATAGAATTAGGATGAGATGAGATGAGATGGGTTGGGATGGCATTGGATGGATAGATAGATAGATAGATATTGACTCTCATCCATTGTGACACATTATGTGGTATAATATGGGGGTAGGGTCCAAGTTCCAAGTCCAGCTACTTTGAGAAGCGTTCTGAGCGGGGGGTTTTGTTTTTTCTTCCACAATCTGTTCTCGCAAACCCGGGTGCTTCACAGAAAGTGCTCGTATTGGCATATGGAGTCCCTGCAGCCACATCACATATTGAAACCTAAGTAGCGCAGAAACATTCTGAAAAAGGACATGCATCAAGTCAACTCGCTAATCCAACCAATACAACTTACCAAGTCATGAGTCAATCCTCCAGACCTCGCAGCAGATCACTGGGTGCTCACAGCACGCTCATCCAGGCCCCCTTAGACCAGATCCTGGATGCTGTTGCATCGGCCAGCGCGGCTCATGCGCCGGCCTTCGCGCGGGAGGTGACCGGTGCTGTTCTCGACGGGACGGGTGAAACGACTCCCCCTTTGGGGGTCGGGATGTCGGAGAGATGAGATTCCAAGTGATGGTAAGGCACTTGTTACTACTAGCGATGCACCTGTTACTAGTAGCTTCCTACCCCAAGTATATATCGGTAATTCAGGAACCATCCAGTATTTGATGCCACCATGGACCATGGCCATGAATGCGCTTTTCTTTGGAATTTAGCTCTCCAAGGGTCAATTTGATGGTTTGGTCTCACAAGGGCTCAGGTGCTACACGGGTGAAGTGGCTTCTGCATGACACAAAGTTCCGGCAGGAGCTCGCTGTGCCGTGTGTATTGCACGCAGGATTGGTTGGAAACGGGGCGAGAGCCCACACCATGTCCGCGAAGTCGTGCCATTCATCCGGTGCAGTCCGTTCACGTTCTGATTGGCCTAAAAGGCCTGAATGGTCGGCTCGGCTCTTCTTCGGTGATCGGCTCGTTTGCTCGGCTCTTCGACATGACGAACACATGAGGATCGCTGCATGAGGCCCACACTGAGAATCCACACTGAAAGCTCACACCTGGCCGTCAGGCTGGTCAGTTGGCACTCCATAAAGTGAGTGGGAAGCCAAGGGACTGAGCGTTGCGAGCCACTTCGGATGGTGACGGTGTTTGTGTTTGATACGCTTTGTCAGAAGAATTCCGAAAGAATCACGCCCAAGAGTTCTAGCCTGAATTGGCCTTGCTGTCGCAAGAGATGATCAAAAGATGTTGGTCTCCTGGACATTCCATGTTCATTCAAGTTCCAACTTTTGGATGACAGATGTCCTGGTCTTTATTTGGTGGTTGGCTGGCCACTGGCTTCGAGTGGTTTGGCTTTTCAGATCTCAGCCCCAAACCTTTTGTTGGGAAAGACACAACTATCATGTCAATGATCTATAGATGTTGGTTGTTAGTTGTTAGCGTTCCTTCGGTTGGGAAAGAAATCGTTGGTTGGTAGGAAAAGTGCAATAACATGCAAGAACGGGCACACCTGTCTTGATGCACGTGTTTATCAACAGAGGGGCATGTACTGCACGAAAGAGCAAAGATGTGGGCCATGGACATGGACCCTTAGAGAGAAATTGTATACCCGAACCAATGATAATGTGATGTCTTGGGCCGAGCTAGCAGAGGAATATAGCTCTATGCCAAGCCCAAAAGGCCCAAAAGGTGGAATGTGGAGAAGCCTAATGTGAGTCCTTGTATCCAGGTTTGTTTCTCTCTCTTTCTCTCTTTGTTTTCTTTTCTCCCTCTCTCTCTCTCTCATTTGGACTGCAATTAACGACAATATACACATTCTACATCATTCTGCCTTTACCCATTTGATCCCACAATTTGTACCAAACGCGGTGATTCTGTTTATCCAACGAGTCTCTTTTTGACGACACCCAGGCAGGTTCGGCGCATCTGCTGTCGATGTGGCTTCTGTGGTGACTGCATTGGCTCAAAACGGCCACATGGCACAGAACAATGGTGCAGAGTGGGAATGGAAAAATGGCGAAGGTTTGAGTCAGAGTGTTTGATTGTGAGATTTGGCTGGATTTGGTAGCTCGGACTGTTCTAACTACTGTACATATAATATCAGCTCGAGTGCAGAACATCAAAAATAGGAAAAGAAAACACCGGCGCAATGCTCCGGACTTCGCTCGAAACTTCCCATTTGACAAGATGTTTGTGTTTCCGTCAATAACAAAAATAACACGACTAGTCACGTCGCACATGAGCAGACACACCAACCAGGTTGCCTAAACTTCTTCAAGCTTCACCAGCCAACCAAAGCAACTGACCTCAAGAATGGACAAATAGTCACTAGTTCATCGTCACGTGAGTCTTTGAACAGTCAAGGTCTTCTCCTGGAATCCTGTGCACCATTGCTGGTGAAGCACGCTCCAATGATCAAGACAGAGGAGATCGCTGTCGCGCGACAGGTTGAAATGCTGCACGGTGGTCTGGAGGTTTTGGAACTGATGGTGGTGGAATGAATCCAATGGCTGTGGGTCATACGCCTGCTATATGCTTCTTTGCAGACTGAAATATGTCAACCTGCCCATTGGTTTGTTTTCTTTCGAGTTGCATTTCAATTGTGGGAGGCAGGGGTGCGTGTAAAGATACGGTGCGTCCGATTTAGATTTAGATATATTGGACTTGGACTTTGAGGCATTGTTGTGTTGACTCCCGGTTACCTCCGAGGACAACCATGCCAACCATGCCTGACCTCCAGCAAACATGATATCACCTGCAAGGTCACACATGGATTAACCTGAGTTTCCCATCGGGACGAAATGGCACGAAAACGAGATTGTGACAGGGCCCGGATCAGACCAAGCTCTCATGTTCCCTCATGTTCCTATTGTCATGATCAGATTGACCTGGTTGGTTCACACATTGGGTGAGATCGACCCCAGCCCTGACTGTCTATAGCTGATCGTCCTTTGAAATGGAACCCCTCCGTCCGAAGACCGGCAGACCCCTCCGGCACAGGAGCTCGCTGCGGCTGTGGCTGCGTTGGGTGAGAAGGGCTACGAAGGTGCCGAACATGGTCCGACCATGTCCGGAACGGACGACCGGGTTCCGGACCGGAATTTAGGAGGGCGAACGGTCGGGGCGCAGGAGGTCGGTCTCAGAAGGCTCGGAGAACAGGCGACATAAATCCCTCCTGAACAGCCCCACAGAGAGATCTATCATAAAATCCGCGGAGTTGTGTCGGCTTCGCATCAACCGGAAGATCAGCTGCTAGACAAACAGCTTTAGCTTGGGTGGGGGACTTGTTTTGCTCTAGAATGCTGTGTGTTTTGTATTTTTGGTGTTTTCTATTTAAAAAAATACGAAAATTGATATCGTGTGAATGATTGTCCGTATGGCTTCGGAGGTAAAAGTTCGCGATGCCTCTTCTGCACCCCGGGGAGACTGCATTATTGACATCGTGGGTGTGTTCGTCCGTGTGTCCTGCCAGACCAAGACAGACTGACAGACCGATACAGACATACCGAGACAGACCGACCGAGAGACAGTGTGTGTGTGTGTCCACCCCTGGACAAAGGGTCTTCCACCACCACTCTTTCCACCTTACATGAGCAGGGGGACACAGCATTTCACTGGGACTGTGTCCAACGAAGCTACCAGTGAAATGGGATATCCAGCTTGGCCAGCTGGACGTACCTGCTCGTTCTTTCACAAGCTGTTACTCCACTTTTCCACTTCTTGGTTCATGGTTCTTCACGATTTCCACCCCATAAACATTCGTCCCCAGCAGCTGTGCAGCCGGTTCGCTTTCCGCCGCTTGCGAGTGCCAACCTTGTTCAACAATACTGTTTTCAGCTGACCTTTCCACCTTGCTGTTCCATCACCTTCCTTCCCAACGTGGTAACTGAGTCACTGAATACAAGTGTCAGAGTGTGTTTCGCTCAGCCGTCCCACTCGGGTGCTGAGTGTGATCCCCGTCACAGGGGCGCCGATCTTGCATGGGAAAGCAACCACCCCAACGCACCACCACTCACTGGACTCTCACAGGAAGGCACCGACACCCTCACCGAATCAACTGACATACCGGCCGCCGGGCCAAAAAACGGTTCTTGAAGAATACATCGGATTTCAGCTTTCAGATTTCGGATCCATCATTTCATTTCATTTCTTCAAGTCATGTGCGTGTTTCCACGTTTTGCCATATTGATGCCGTGATTCTTTCATCGACAGAACTCAAGGATGGGCATTAGAGCTCTTCAGCTTAATTCGAGATGCATGAACACACACCTACCAACAAGCTCACATCTAGCACCACCTTACAACATACTCTCCATCGACACCAGAGATGACACCTTCAACAACAACAAGACAATACAACTCGGCACTTCTCCGCTGCCTTTTCGCTGCCGCGCCGCGCCGTGCCATAGCTACGACCACGACATGCATTTTCCGTGGCCCTACGCTCACGCCACGCCACCACCATTACCTACCACACAACCTCAACCCACATGGCCGCTGCCACAGCCATCCACTGCACCCACCTTTCCCACGACACAACCATCGGCATACCCTCACCCACAACCACAACCATTTCAACCACCACCTTTTTTGTCCAACCCTACCACCACTGCACTGACCTACGGCACACCATCCACTTGGACGTTTGTGCAACCATGTCACGTGCCACCGCAGCCCACACATCCAACTCCAGTATTTCCGACAGCAGCACCTCCCCCTTCATACCTGTTGCCACCACATCATCCCACACCACCGGCTGAACTTCCTCCCCCCACTACAATGACACATCCCTCTCCAACACAGCAACAGACTGCGATTGCCAATCATCCATCCACAGACCCCCAATGCGCCATCCCCCAGGGCGTTTGGCAACCCTATTCAGCTTTTCCCCCAGTCACACAGCCTCCACTCCAACCATTGCCCCCGCCACCACCTCCACAAACCATCAACGCCTCACCACCAGTCCAACCTCCACTCCAACACCAGACACCATCGGATCCAGCACCACCAATCCAGCACATCCCCACAACTGCCACGGACGCTTCATTGCCGGTCCAAAACACGACCCCTCCAGCTACCGTATCCCAACATTCTGCATCACTATCGCTAGTATCAGCCACACCAGCACCCGGACCTTCACTACCTGCACCAGACAAGCTTGACACCACTGTCTCACCAGCACCGCAACCACCTTCCCCGCAACCACCACACAGCAGTCGCCGCCACCACCACAAGAACCGACACAAGTCCGACCATCACCGCAGAGGACGCCACCGCCACCGCCGCCGACATCGACATCACCGCCACTCCAAACATCACAGCTCAACCCGGCGACGGCGTTCGCCTTCGACATCCACTTACACATCCAGCCTTACGCCATCCCGCAGTCGCTCACCACCACAACCCATCGATTTACGCCCCAACACTGCACACACCAACCCAGACCCCTCTCAATTTCCCACCACAGCCGTCCTCCATCGCCCAATCAACCGTTGGCGACCTCCACCCAGCTTTCACACCTTTACACCTGCCAACCAAATCCTGGAATGGCTCGAATTCCACGCC